TTGCTCCAGAGTTTGACAATTTATTTATTCATATTTATTATAATCTGTAATAATTGACAATATTTGGACTTGTTTGTTTACACACTTATAATCTAAATCATTATGCCGCTAAATTGAAGACATTAGTGTTGCACATCGCAGAAATCATCTCAAAATATTATATATGATACATAAGCGCGTGTCGAAAGCAAACTGAAAGGGGGGGGGGGGGGCTAAACCAACAAATGTTCGGGGGCTACTCAGTAAGCCCCAATTATCAATGCCTATGTAGATTACATTATGTATTTCTTTGCAAAAAAGGGGTTTAAATTGCTGTTCAAATGTATTTTACATTCCTCGTTCACAGACAAAAACTTTCAAAAATATCAACGTGAAAGTCTATGCTATATATAACCAAATTACCATATATTGACAACTTCTTTTATGTACCAGATTTAAACTACCACATCACCCTTATTTGGCTATATTGCAACAAAAAGTGTTGGGGGCGGCAATAAACTTTTTCGTCAGCTGGAAAGTTATGTTTGAGAAAATAATGGGGAAGACTCCTACCCAAACCCTGCAACATGCCTGATAAGCAGATGATACTCATTTTCTTTTGTCAAAAATCAACTTCACGAGGCGCAGTCATAAGTTTCCGTAATACGGAAAGGTAAAAAAAAAATCAAATTATTGAAAACAATCTTACTAAAAAAAGTCGTAATAACGAGATAAAAAGTCGTATTTACGACTTAATAAAGTCGTTATTATGAGATAAAAAGTCGTTATTACGACTTAAGAAAGTCGTTATTACGAGATAAAAAGTCGTAATAACGAGATAAAAAGTCGTTATTACGACTTAAGAAAGTCGTAATAACGAGATAAAAAGTCGTTATTACGACTTAAGAAAGTCGTAATAACGAGATAAAAAGTCGTTATTACGACTTAAGAAAGTCGTTATTACGAGATAAAAAGTCGTTATAACGAGATAAAAAGTCGTTATTACGACTTAAGAAAGTCGTTATAACGAGATAAAAAGTCGTAATAACGAGATAAAAAGTCGTTATTACGACCTAAGAAAGTCGTAATAACGAGATAAAAAGTCGTTATTACGACTTAAGAAAGTCGTTATTACTAGATAAAAAGTCGTAATAACGAGATAAAAAGTCGTTATAACGACCTAAGAAAGTCGTTATTACGAGATAAAAAGTCGTTATTACGACCGTTATTACGAAAAAAGTCGTTATTACGAGATAAAAAGTCGTAAAAACGAGATAAAAAGTCGTTATTACGACTTAATTTTTTTTTCTTCATTTTCTAATTTGACCCTTGTAGGCTTTCGTACTAAGGAACATATAGCATACGAAACTAACAATGCAAATGGCGGTCAAGGTTATCTATTCATACGCAGATTAACATGGATGTAATCAATCACTGCACTGTGTATTACGCACTGCAACTTAACTGTTTAAGTTTATATTGAAAAATCTTTTGTGTTTTATGAATTTACGATTTTAATTATACAGATTCAATGCAATATCGGTAATACTGACAGTATTTAATTTCCGAAGTGCTCATGGTCTGCGAGAGGTTTTATTGGTCGTAGACTACACCAACACCCAAGCTGTAATACCAGGTGTGTTCAGTAGACCGAAAAATTCACTGCATTTCGAGATAAGCCAGGTAAAAGTAGGGCTTGGGACTTTGAATATACCTCGACATAAGCGGGGTATTCGAGATTACCGTGTTCGAGATACCAGGTGTTTTTTAAATCAAATATATAGAGAATACGGCCGGGACCGGCGATTGACTTCGACATAAGCGGGGTATTCGAGATATCCCATGTTCGAGATACTGATATTTACCTGTACATTGAAATAAATATCTGTGAAAATTCTTTGCTCAAATTTTAAATCATCGCATCCAGTACAAATTATATTTTAAAGATATGTTCGACTTCTTTTAAAGGACCACTGGTGATTTGCTATTCTATTAAGTACCAATTTTTACAATCTCAACAGATGAAGATACACTGTTGAAAATAGTGAAGAAAAAAGAAAACTGGATCCCGGAAGAGAAAATCTTCAACCAATTTCTAAAAATCCGCATGGCTATTTTGAGGAAAATGGTATGTTTCAAGAATATGGTATTTTAAATTACCGGTAAAGCTTATCTTTTATAGAGATGTTCTGTATAAGGATGAAAAACCAATATCATTCAGATGTATATTAGCAATATATTATGTATATCTCTTCAATAAAAAAAAAACCTACTTCTTATCAATTATTAACAAATACAAAATAAATTTGTCACCTCATATTTATTGTGATCAACTAGAAATTTGAGATATCCAAGAATATTTTATTAAGAAGTAAAATACTAATAAAATAAGAAGTGGTTTTCTGAAAAACTCGTGGTACTGAAATATAGGTATTCAATTTTTCAACAAAACCAACTAAACTTTGAACATGAAAACCATTTCCAATTGTTAACAAAAATGAGAATTTATAAGTTGTTTCTTATTTATTTATTATTTTTTTTTTTAGAAAAAAGTTATTTGATGGAAGACCTTTCCTGCTCTAAAAGTCAGGTGTCAAATAACAGATTAGGTATCAGATACTACTGTATTTTGTTTTGTGTTTTAAATAAAACAGATAAGTTTATAACTTTGTTGTGAGGAGCGAAATGTGTGCTATTATAAGTCTATATGCTACACGTGCAAGAAAATAGCGTGTTGCATGCCATGTTTTCGGCGACTATAGAAGTCCCTTGGCTGTCCTCTCTGCAGGAGCACAACAACACCTGGTAAATTATTATGATTGTTAATTGGTGTACAGAAGCGTGAAATAGATGTCTCCCTTTTAAAATTTTGTCGTTATTTTTTTCTCTCTTTCAGACGCTGTTTCAATTTAAATTTCAGTAAAGCAATGGGGGGGGGGGGTCATTCTACCTTTTTTCTTTTTTAAGAGTATATTTATTACACTATATTGATATATATATATATAAAATATTTTTTTTACTTCTCCTTGGCCATTGGAGGTGTCTAAGATGTTTATTTTAACTCGCGTTTGATCATACATAATGGGAAGGGGGAGGGGGTCAAAGAAAAAAACCTACAATTAATTAATCTTTTTTTTAACTGTGTATATCTCTCGATGTTTTTATATTCACATTAAAGAATTAAGTCTTAAAATACAATCGAGGTTTAAGGGCTACTAAAAATCCAACAGTATAAATATCTTTTTTAAAAAAAACGTAATAAGAATACTTTTCTTCAGTAAAATCAGTGTTAATTTATATAAAATCTCACAATTTACTATTTTTTGAATAAATAAATCGTAATACTTTTACAAGAATAAAGTCGTAATGTTCAGCAAACTCGATTCAAGGCTGTGCTAACTAAGAATCGTGTATAATCATTCCTACTACAGACATATATACACATTGCGTAATGTCCCCATCGTGCAGCTGGTCCGCTACGCGAGGGGACAGTCTTCGAGTAACATCAAAGGCGCCGCTAGCGCCTGGGTGACTCAACTTTCTCAAGGGGGGGCAAAGGAATGGAATTCTTCAACTAGCTGACTTTGAACTTCTACGGAATCAAATAATTTAAGTAACATACAACTAAGATTTACTGTTTTAATATTTATGACATTTTTTTATCGTTAATTAATCATTTTTCTTTGTAAATAATTATTTTTCTTAACCTTGGGGCAACTTTACCAATATGGACACCTCCACTGGTCAAGGACTAGTTCCATTTTACTAATCAGGGATGCTGAACATCTTTTATTAGTTTTAAAAACTATGTTTGTACATTATATCCAATTTTTTTCCCCACTATTATTCTAAAAACAATTATACCCTTATTTATCAACTGTTAGAATTTATTTTGGGGGGAAAACAATCATGACTTCGTAATTTAAATGACCATTCCACCCCTAATTGGAATGTGTCATTATTTATTATATAAGAGATGAAGGAAAAAAATCGCCATCTCAATTCCAAATTCGAAGACTTCAAGAGGCACGATGTTCATGTTGATAGCTATTCTGGTGATACAAGTTGATGCGCGGTGCGGGGTGACAGAGGGGGTAGTGCAGTGTCGAGACTGGAGGGAGATTGAAGGGGGGAACTACGTCATGACCAACGTCCTCATCCTGGAGAGGGCCATAGGAGAGATACACATTGAGGACTATCCAGCACTGACCAGGCTGATCATCCACGACCAACAAGCCAGTTGCAACGACATATCAGCGAACCCCTGGACGACAGTGCGCATAGGTTCCCTTACTTGTCAGGTAATTACATTTTTTATTTATATATAAAATGTTATCTATGTCAGTAAAAAAATTAACAATAATTTTAATTCTCAAAAGAAAACTTGTCAATGGAAATATATCATCAAGAATTTTTAATTGAATCGATGTTATTTTAACAAAATTAATAAAGTAAATTAAAATTGAAATTTATGTTTCTATCTCTTTTTTTCAGAACGCCCAGGACATCAGTGAACCCAAAGACGTTGCAATGACCACCCTCAGAACTGTTGAATTGGCAGCTTTTACCTTCAGTAAGTTTTGAATTAAAAAATAAATAAATTTGAATAAATAGTATAAAGGATTATTTAAATTACTATTACATAGAAGTTGTTTCTAAAGCCACCCTTTGTTTATTTAGACACACCTTGGATATATGTTATCCTTGGAGGGACGGGTGTAGTGATACTTATATTCATGGGGATGATCGTTTGTATGGTTAAAAGAAGGTGCCAGAGGAGACGGGTGGATCTCGAATCTCAATCCCTTACAGAATTCGATGCAGTTGTCATGCGGGATTTCAAGTGTGATTAACTTTTTTTTAGTGATCATTCTAACGGTTTGTGTAAAGAGGCCATGAAGTACTCGTGCGAGCCCCCACACCTCCCCCAGTCATGCCAGCGCCCCAACCAGCGCCACTCAGACGCTCAACCAGGCAGAGGCGCCCACCCATCAGACTGTCATATTGATTTGTTTTTGTAAAGATATTTTTTCATAAACTTGTTGATTATTTCTGAAATTATGTATTTAATAAACGAAATATAAATATTTGAATTATTTGTAATTTTTGTATTATTGTGTCAGTGGTTCTTTTGTAAATTTTGAGTACAATTGCTACAGTCTGTTTCAACCGTTTACAGAATTGAAAAAAAAGACAGGTTGAAACTTAAAACATTTTAATTTTCACAAAAATGACAAACATTTAACTTCCGGAGGAATCTCCTCCCTGCCACCTCCTTTCTCAGCGCCTCCAGACTTTCTTCGAGTCTCTGAAGGCGCTGGTGAATACCCTCCTCCTGGATCGTCTGGAAAAGATAAATGATATTGTAATGAAAAGAACTAGAAAACTTAAGGATGTATAAAACAAAGGAAAAAAACTGAGGCCTGTATTTTCTAAAGAAAAAATTTACGACTACGAGCACAAAAAAAGAAGTTAATAGAGATTGTTCTATCTGACGTATCCGTATCCGTATCCGCATCGGTATCGAGATATGAAAGGCATCTCGATCCCGATGTCTCAACCATTTAATACAATTTCCGTCTCTGTTTGTGGTTAAATAAGCTACAGTCATGCATTGGAAAGTAGCAAATGGCAATTTTTCTATTAGAAATACTAAACTTCTGTAAACATCTATCATTTCGTAGAAAAATATTTATTAAAAAAAAAGAAAGAAAATGAATTAATAAATTTAAGTATAAAATATTTCATTTTAATTATTTTGTTTTAAAATTAAATTCATTTTGTTTCAAAATATTTGTAGGAAATCCCCTTTCTCTTTTTCCTCTCGCCTAATATCTGGGTATTTTATTGATATATTCTGAATTTGTCATATACCTTTACACTGTATAACGGAATACCCTCCCCCCTTTCACACACACTGAAATACAAAATACTTTATCATCAACGCGATTGATAATACACTGTAGCCGTTTTTAAAGAGACTATTCAAACTGATTTCATCATTCGCTTCAGGACCGTTACAAGTATTGAGTATATGCATTGAAGAGCCTGTTCAACTCCCTCCTTTCCCCTCCCCTCACATTGGCGTCAGAAGCAAATTGAAAGTAGGAAGGGGGCTAATTGAAAGAGAAAAATATAAGTCCTGAAAAACCCTGACATGCAAAAAAAGTACTGAAACACTATTTTGTGATTGTGGGCGGGGGGGGGGGGGAGGGGGTCGAACTTTTTTCATTGCCATTTTTTTAAAACTACCACTTACTCTTCTTTGACTGCAATACATCATGCCTTTTGAAAGTGGAAAGGGAGCTTATCCTACGCCTGCAGCCCCCCCCCCCCCCCCGTTCCGGTGTCTGTGCCTCACAATGTGCACACACGACATTTGATAACGTCTTTTGACTATCATTCATCAACATCATTTGTGGTTTGATATAAAAACTATTTCAGAATATGGTATTAAAAAAATATAATCTCAAATCTATTTTTATGCTAAGATCAAAATAAATATGGCTCAAAATTTTCAAAATAATACATCTTATTTTGCTAAGTCTACTTGTCTATCGTGCTAATTTTCTTCTCTTTTTTATCCGACTTTCTTTTTTATTTATATATACAATTTGGCCGAGATCGAGATCATTGTGCACAGTGAAGAGAAGGAACTGCTTCAATGTAGCCAAGAAAAATATCACGCATTGAAAGAAAAATTACAGTGATGAAATACATGTATCAAAGTTTTTAAGAGCTTGCTTTGTTCACTATAAACTCGATCATGTACCTTTCATAAAAAGAAGTTTAAGCTTAAGAAAGGAAGATACATCGTAACATAACATTTACTTTTCTCCCCTTTATCGACAAGTGTTAAATCAATCGAGTACTACATATACTGCGTTTAATCGCAACACTGTACATAATCAAATCTCAAGCTCCTTGAAACCCTGGATACGCATAGGTGTCAGAACCGGGGGGGTGGCTTAAGCCCCCCCCCCACTTTCTTGCAAAGATAGACATTAGACATAATATAGGCATTCGAAATTGGGGTTTACCTTTTTTTTGGTTAAGCCCCCCCCCCCCTTTTCAATTAACGCCCCCCCCCCCTCTATTTGCCCATGATACGGCTATCGACCTACAATTTAGGGAGTGTATTTAAACCGCCCCAGAATTACCAGCTATCCATTTTTTTCTGGAGAACTATTACCATCAAATACGTTATAATTAATGGCATAGAAGATGATAAAAAAGGAAAAGAGGATGGACGTTTTCAGTAAATCCCCCATACACATTTGTTTTGCAATAAGGTGAAATCTTTCCCAGTTAATGTACAATTACATGTTTTTACAATTAATTTACAAGATTGAGATAAAAAGGTTTAACTGTATATATAGTTATATATTATTGGGGATATGTCGTGTAAAATTCTTGTAAATATTAATGTTAATTATAGAATGAAGAATGAATACCCTAAGAGAGAGAGAGAGAGAGAGAGAGAGAGAGAGAGAGAGAGAGAGAGAGAGATTTTCGAACAATTTTCTATACATTTAAATAATTCAAATCATGCTTTTTTTCTATTTTATTTTTAAACTTTTACCCCCTCCCCTTCTCCCCCCCCAAAACATGATGCATAAGGCGTGTACAGCAACTGAAATGTTTTTTTATTAAACATATCACACTACATTTATTTTTTAGTGAATGTGGTTAAAAATCAAAATGAAACGATGGAAATGTAACCAGATTGTTTAGACATCGGGATCGAGATGCCTTTCATATCTCGATACGGATACGGATACGTATACGGATACGGATACGTCAGATAGAACAATCTCTATTAGCAGAATTAAATTTGGTCGTAGTCGTAAGTTCTTTTTTTATAAAACAGGTCCTCTAGAAGTTCATGGTTAGATCATCCTTAAAATAATGTTTCTTGTGCTTTCCCGACTCAATTTTTTTTTTAAAATATTTGTTGACAAGATAAAAGGAATAAAGAAAATATATATATATATATTTCGTTTTTCTGGAACGTAGGGAAATTGAGTTGGTCGGGAAAGCACAGTCAAACAATTTGAAAGATGACCATACTTGAAATACATTAACCAGTGTCGGATCCAGGAATTTCGCAACGAGAGGGTACAGTAAAAGGTAGGGAAGCGGGGGTTGTAATGAAGCCCCCCCTCCCTCCCTCCTCCCCGGTAGGGCTATTAAGACCATGGTCCTGATGGGGGTTCGAAATGAATCCCTCGGAAAATTACACTTTTTTTTTTTTTTACATGTAAGAAATGTTATTCCTTAATTTTTTAGAATAATGAAAATATATTAGTTTTATGTACACAATAAAATTCAAAACGTTGGGGGGGGGGGGGTCCGTTGTCGGGTAGCAGGAAACAAGACTATTTCTTATTTTGGCCTTATTTGTTAAATATAAAAGGTGTGCTTAGGCCTTATTCCGTTAGTCGTAACAACTGGATCCGTTGTTTACTTTCGGATAACACATGACGAAATCAGTCATAACCCGGAATTCAGTCATAACCCGGAAAAAAGATTATCCATGTAAAATAATGTAATGCCTGTGTATGACTAATGATGTACTATATAAGACTGAGGAAAATGTATTTATTGTCTAATTAGGTGTTCGATGTCATTTGATTGAACGACTGTGAATTATGCAGACATTTTGTGCTATATGTAACAAGTCGTTTTGTAACAACTCTACTTTCAAGCGACATTGTAAAAATGTACACGAAAAAATGAATAGTTTTCGTTGCGATATTTGTGAAAAGGTCCTAAATCGCAAAGACAATTACGATCGACATGTTAGAGTGTGCAAAGCAGAATTTAAATGCTTTTACTGCGACTATACTTTTAAGTTTTCATCGCATCGCACATTACATGTCCACAAGGAGCATAAGGATAATTTTTTTAAGTGTGATTCATGATTATCTCCCTTTCGAAAGGGGAATGGCCCTTCATTTGAACAAACTTGAATCCCCTTCACCCAAGGATACTTTGTGCCAAGTTTGGTTGAAATTGGCCCAGTGGTTCTTGAGAAGAAGTCGAAAATGTGAAAAGTTTACAGACAGACAGACGGACAGACAGACAGACGGACGCCGGACAAAATGTGATCAGAAAAGCTCACTTGAGCCTTCGGCTCAGGTGAGCTAAAAAAGGACAGATCTTATCTCTCTTTCTAATTTTCTCACACTTTTTTACTTATTTAGAACAGTCTTCCAACAACATCCACGACGTCAATACAACGAAACAAAAGCAACAGATCAGTGGTAATATGACACTTATTTACTTGAATCTCTTTTATATCAAATTCATAGTATTTTTTTTTTCCTTAAATATATTATTAACTTTTTTTTAAATTAAAGCAGAACAACGATGCATCAATCCCTTCGACATCAGCACAAGGCAACAGCTTTGAGGTTTGTTTTTTTTTCATAATTATAAATTTCATATCTATCATATCTATATAAGTCTGCAGTGAGGTAACAATCTCTTAAAATTTGTATTCATGATTCGTTCATCACATGAATCTTGATTTTTTAATTTAGAACAATGAGCAAAGATCATCAAATGCATCAACACAACAAAAACAAGACCACGCACCGAAGGTAAAATTAAAAAAATCTATTTTACGAAATTGATGATTAATCGTATACTAGTATTTTACTACAATGAAGTTTATTTTTTTAATTTTTCGTTAAAGATGCTTCTTTTGGCTATACGTGTCGGACATGTCATCAAAGATTTGATTGTCGACGAACATTGTACGTTCATCAGATGAATGACCATGTTCAAATAGGAGCAGGTCTGTTACAACCCAGACCCTGGGGGAATGGGTCTCCGCCATGGGGGGAAGGCGACAGAATTGATGAACAATTAAAGTATATGAGACGAATGCTTCTTTAATCTTAAGAAGACACCAGGAAGGAAATGTTTATAGTGTATACAACTTTCCGATCGATAATCATTTCACCGTTTCCGAAATTATGCAAGCAGGAAACGAAATTTATGACCGTCAACAAAA